AGGACTCTGACCCCCAAATTCCCGGTGCTTACAGTTAGGAGGACTCTAACCCCCAAATTCCCGGTACTCACAGTTAGGAGGACTCTAACCCCCAAATTCCAGGGGGACTCTAACCTCCCTGAGACGAACTCGTCAGCGTACAAGTGCGTAGGTTATCTCGGAGATTCCGTCACTAGAGAGTTCTAGGGGACGAGGGGTCGACTGAGTGATAGGTTAATGAGAGAGATCAAGGTAAATCTTACCTTGCGGGCCCATCCGTCTCACATCACCATCACACAGGTGATCACTTATTCAGTCCATCTAGAAGTTCCGTATATGTTGGAATCCCACCGCTGCCACCAAATGTTGAGTTCCCTTTTAGGAGATTCCTTCGCACTTGTTACAAACGCAGTACGCCAACTTCTGCGAAAAGCCACAGTTTATTTAAGCAAGTACAAGCTTTGGAGGATCACTTAGCAGTCTTCGCAGGGCTTGCGGAGCCATGTCAAGCGATGCTCCCCGTAAGGGAACCATCCTCCCTTTATATAGGTTTTTACAGCACAGTCAGACATGCATACAAGATACAACTTTTTTCTCCCCCATAATCATGTAACTTAATCATCTAACAGTAAAACAAAGGTTAGCTGCCCAAAAACAATGTGTAAGACGAGGTAGTTCCTTATCCTTTTAGCCTTAATTCAACACTTACAGAGAGCAAAGTATAATTAGATTACCACCTTTTGTCTGCGAGACAGGGGCGTCCACGAAGCACTTAATTTCTTATATGTCAGCAGAACAGATATTAACCCTTTAACATTTCAATCCAATCTCATGGGAACACCGGTACATGAAAGATTCCCTCCAAATCTCACACTATCCAGACTTAGGAACACAATCACCATTCCTACAGCGTGGCTGGGTCAAAAACCTGGAACTCCCACCCTAAAAGCATCAGGGGTGACTACATATGGACTGCAGCAGTTCGAGAAGGCAGCTCACCACCGCCCTCTCCAGGGCAACTGGAGATGGGCAGTAGTTGTTGGCCCAGCTAGCAACTCCCAATCCCATATACAATAATAAACCCTCAACTTACTTTTGGTAGCGTCCGTGTAGTTTCATTTTGCCAGGTATCAATGAGTTTAAGTGTATCATGGTTATTTAAATATTGGTTTCTCTGTGGACTCTATCAATGTAGTTACCCCCTTTTATTGGCTATATTATATCGTGCTGCTGTAGATGAACCGAGAATTTCTGGGTTCTGTTCTCCTCTGCAGATTCATGTGCATTTCCGGATGTTTATCATGAGGCACACAGCTGGTACAGCACAGTTGGAGGGCATTTGGCCCATTGCTTTCATACCAACTCACTATGGAGCAATCCCACCAGTCCCATCTTCTATTGCTGGAACCTTGGAAGTTTCATTCTCTGAAGAGGCCATCCAATTTCTGTTTGAAATCATTGATCATATTCATTTCCAGGCTATTACCACTATTTACACAAAAACATCCTTCCTCCCTCCCCTCTGTATCTCTTACTCAAAACTTAAATCTGAATCTGACAGGGTCTAGGCCCAAAACGTCAGCTTTCCTGCTCCTCTGATGCTGCTTGGCCTGCTGTGTTCATCCAGCTCTACACCTTGTTATATCAGATTCTCCAGCATCTGCAGTTCCTACTATCTTGGAATTCTTCATCATTTTAACATTTGCAGCATGTTGCAACAGTTGAGATTCCCCAATTTATTCCAATCCCAGACAGGATACCCAAAACTATTAAGCTTCCAGGTGAGACCTGGCTCTCTTTCCTTATACAACTGACTGCAACCTCCCTCACAATAAAGTTAATTTAAAAATGGATCCCTTCCCTTGTGGATACTTTTCTTCCAGACCCAAATGACTTGGTTAAATTGGCTTCTTTCAAAACAAAGTTTTCCTCAGTTATAGAGTCAGATTCCTTTCAATATTGCAATTGTACCAGACTCCACCACCTCCTCTGGCAGCTCATTCCATACACGCACCATCTTCTGCGTAAAAAAGTTGCAACTTAGGTCCGTTTTAAATCTTTCCCCCTTCATCTTCAATCTACGCACTCTAGTTTTGGACTCTTCACCACCCACCCTGCCGCCCCCCACCCCCCGCCGGGGAAAAAGACCTCGACTATTCACCCTATCCATGCCCCTCGTGATTTTATAAACCTCTATTAGGTCACTCTTCAGCCTCTGACGCTCCAGGGAAAAAAGCCCCAGCCTATTCAGTCTCTGCCTTTAGCTCAAACCCTCCAACCCCGGCAACATTCTTGCAGATCTTCATATTGGAAAGTGAATTTATTAGTTACTAAAAGGAAGGAGGAATGAATGCAAAACGCTTACAAACAGAAATAAGAAGCAAATTACAAAAGTAAAAATTTAAAAGATATATGGATCAGTCTGGAGTTCACAATGACAGTAGGACGCTGCAGTTGTTACATTGGGTAATAACTGTAGCATGGAGGTTGGCAGGTAAGTTGATTTCAAGAAGCTTGGCTTCAACAGTCAGCTGAAAGACCCTTGTCCTGTTTCCTTTTTATTGCTTGCAGCATCTCAGTGTGTTTCAAACAGCGATCAGTAAGTGTATATTCCTCCGGAGCAGCTAGCTTACTCACAAAATCAGCTGATCATTGTGTGAAAAGATCAGTCACTATCCGTAAAATGCATGTGTTCCTTAAATGAGTGGTTGCTGGATATTAGCTCCTTAATGAGCCTCCGGGTTGTTGTTTCTAATGCAAAGCTTTCCCCAAGTGGCTGTCTTGTGCCAAACACCTTCTAAACATGTCTTTCAATTCCAGGCTGCATCTTGATCAGCTCCTGGACAACCATCCACTCCCAACTGTATCTTTTCACCTTCAAGGTGTAAAGGCAGAGCCCAGAATAGATGACAATCTGACTATCAACTTTTGTTTGGTGGTGGTGGGGGAATGGGGGCATGTAGAGGTAGAACGGGGCAGTGTCAGCTGATCCATAAGGCGTCACCAGTGACCCAGCTCTTGTTTAAAAGGGGCAATTGTCACATTGATTAAAATAGATCATCTTCTGAGATTGCAGGATTAAGGCACATTTTGGGGATCAGCATCATCATGTACCTAACCCATACTGTACCTGTTTGGGAGAGAGACAGAACAGGGCAAATACACTGCCTCCTCATCACTCCCTGATCTCAAGGGATCCACATAGTTTTTTTTTAAAATCTAAGAACAACAGAGATTCCTTTCTAAATGTTTAGTCAGTTAGTCGACTGATGTCATACTCTTTCGTGGCCCACAACATCCGGACCACATGGATGTCTCGTCGCCATCCAATCCTCCGGTCCCAGCAGTATTCTGGTGACAGGACCTTGGTGGGTTTATGCAGCCAGAAGTACTTGTTGAGGTGGCTCTCATCATGCCAAGCAGCCTCCACGTTTTTCTGCTTGTCCTGCAGGATTCCGCGGGAGCAGCTTTCTGTCAGGTTCCGAACGCTCTGCCAAGTCCCACCAAACACAGCAGCATGGTAATAGAAATCCCCCCTGCTGCCCAGGTAAGCTGCAGATTGGGGGTTGCGGTCATAACTGTACATGAACTTTGGCCTCCGGTAGTACCAGGCATGCAGGACAGCCACCGACTCACTGAGCGTCTCCGTGCCGAAGCGTCCTTGGAATCGCTGATCCACATCAAAGCAGAATACATAACTGGCTTCGTGCTTGACATGATCCTCAATCAGCTTGCTGATCGTCTCCATGCGAGACATTGAAATGTCCTGCCAACGCTTGTGCATTTTCACCTGGAAGCTCTTGATTTTGCGTCTTGCATTCGGCTGCAGATTCAGCCTTTCAAACTTCAGCAAGTCATCTACGAAAATATAATATACGACCGAGAATCCTGGCATAAAATGTTCATCAGCCGATGCCAAGAAAGTCTCCAAGTACAGGTCCAGGTACCTGAAATATACAGAAGAACACTTCCTCTTAGAAGCACACTTCCTCTTCATCGTCCCAGACAACAAACCAATCCCCCACCAATCCAACCCCAGTTATATCTCAACTCTTCAAGACTTTGAAATACAAAGCAATGGGGGATCTCAATGCATGAAGTAGTGTTCGCTGCATCACCCGAGGAACTAGATATTTTAATACTGGGATTGCCAGGGTATGGATAAAGCCTGAATCAGTAAACAGATATCTGCCATCATGGGCAGCATGGTGGCTGTGATCAGCACTGCTGCCTCACAGCGCCAGGGACCCAGGTTCAATTCTACCCTCGGGCAACTGTCTGTGGGGAATTTCGACATTCTCCTCATATCTGTAAGGGTTTCCTCCTGGTGCTCTGGTTTCTTCCCACAGTCCAAAGATGTGCCTTCACGTGGATTAGCTATTCTAAATCGCCCATATGTCCAAGGATGTGCAGGCTAGGTGAATTAGCCATGGGAAATGCACGATTACAGGGGTGACTCTGGGTGGGATGCTTTTCAGAGGGTTGGTGTGAACTGGATAGGCCAAATGGCCTGTTTCCGCACTGTAGGGATTCAATGATTAGCAATTTGACAGGATTATTCCTCAATACAGCTCAAAGCAGATAAAAAGTTTGGCAAGCCACAATATATGCACTCATGGAAAAGTGGTGAAGATTAAAATTTTAGTCAAAACAAAAACTGACTTTCATATCAGTGATACTTTCAAGGAGTTTGAAATTTACCCTCTCCCATTGTTTCACTGTTGCTAAGTTGCCAAGTTGGAAACTTCTCCCACCAACCATGCCCTGAAAAGGTGCCAAGAGTACATTTGTAGACACCAGGAACTGAACAGCCACCTTCAATGGCGTGCTATTCTAAGATTCTACAGAGCAGATTTACACCAGAGCAAGTTTAACTTTAGTGACGAGTGAGTGGTAAGTAGAAAGAATTTGGAAATTTTGGTCAATCAAGAGACTGCCGGTTTTTTGTTTAAAAACAGGAGATCAACCAATTCTTTAGTCTCAATGGAAAATAAACTGTAAAGAGTTGATTCGTATTTAGTATTTCCAACAAGTTCTAGACTCATAATGGTACCCTTGTAATCACTGCTGACCTCAAATCTCACCCCAGCTCCCTTGAGTTATAATTATGTCTGACCAAATTTAGTTGCCTTATCACGATAATGGAATAGACCTTTGCATTATCTCATTGCCTCTTTTGTGGATACTTTATGGTGAATCCTCTACTATTAATCATTAAATAGGCCCCAGTCAAAACAAGAACAAAGGAAAGCAGTGAACTTTCTCTCACTACCCTTGTCTTCTTGAACTGCTACAATCCATGTGCTGTATGTAGACCCACAATGCCCTTAGGAAGGGAATTCCAGGATTTTGTGACTGTGACCTAGCAGCAAATGACTTAGAGGGGTACTTTTCTGTGGTGGTGTTCTAATATAGCTGTTGCCCTTGTCCTTCTAGATGGAAATGGTTATGGGTTTGCAAGGTGCTGTCTAAGCATTTTGCTGAATTTCTATAGTGTATTTTGTAGATAGTACACACTGCTGCTCCCAAGCATCAGTATTGGAGGGAGTGATGTTTGTGGATGTGTTACCAATCAAGGGGACTGCTTTGTCCTGGATGTTGTCATTGAGTGTTGCTGGAACTGCACTCATCCAGGCAAATGGGAAGTATCCCATTTGTCTCTTGTAGGTGGTGGACAGGCTCTGGGGAGTCATGAAGTTAGTTACTTGCAGTATTCCTAGCCTCTGACCCACTCTTGCAACCACTGTATTTTTATGGCTAGTTTAGTTTAGTTTCTGGTCAAATGATAACCCCCAGGATGTTAATATTGAGGGAATTCAGCAATGGTAATGTCCTTGAATGTCAAGGGACAGTGCTTAGATTGTCTGTAATTGGAGATTGGACATTCGCATTTGTATGATACAAATGTTACTTGCCACTTTTCAGGCTAAACCTGGATTTTGTCCAGGCCTTCCTGTATTTGAAGATGGACTGCTTCAATATCTGAGGCATTGCAAATCATGCAATCAAGGGCAGAAGTGAGGGAAGGACGGCCATTGATGAAGCAGCTGAAGCTATTTGGGTCTTGAGGAACTTCTGCACAGATGTCCTAGAGTATAGATGACTGACCTCCAACACAACCGCAACCATCTCTTCCTTTGTGCTGTGAATGCAACAAGCAGAGAATTTTCCCACTGACATCAGTTTTACTAGGGCTCCTTGATGCCAATTTCAATGAAATGTGGCTTGATGTCAAGGGCAGTTAGTTTCACCTTAATTTGAATTCAGCAATTTTGTTCGTGGTTGAACCAAAGTTATAATGGCTTTAATCACTCTCAACCTAGATAATTATTTCAGTAGCTCTTAGCCGGACTTTGCAATGTTCAGACCGACTGGTGCGTTTGTCCAACACAACGACACTTCAAGAAGGAACAACTTGGATGCATTCAGGGCTCTTTGATTCATCCAGAATGTTAAAAGATACCATGCAAACACAAGTTGTTTTGTTCTTTAGTTCATTACTGTTAAATAAAGGTAATTGTTCTGACAGATTGAATAATAACATTGCATTAGCTAATCCAATCTAATAATGGCACACAGTCTTTGGGTGAAGGACCAGCTAACTTTGCACAAGACCCTGATGGAAACAGATGTCTCCTAGCTCCTGATCACTGTCATTATGCCAAATTAATGTTAATTTTACCTTTTGTTATCACAAAATAAGCTACATCTTGTCAGGTAAGACAAGTGCCTCTTCTTGTTAAGACGCTCTAGTGGTCTACCACTGACAACTAGACAGACTCTTAGACTCAGCATAGAGAAAGGTGGATCCTTCAGAGACCATGGACACTGCAGGGGCTGGATAACGTTATTTTGATGCATTCCCTTTCTAGAAGTTCCTGTTAACTGTTTGATATTCTATTATTGTGTCACACGAGGGGCTGTTTAACCTGTTTCTAAAAAATAAAAAGTGCAAAAGGAACATTGGTCACAGCACACTACCCCAAATACCACCACTCAGAGCCAGTTAATTTAAGGGTACAGTTCTGACCTGTTCTCTATAACAGCATTTAGGGAGTGCAACACTGAAGCATTGCATTGTAGCCCTCTTGTCCCAACATTTCAAAGTGTTGGCATCTACACTGGGACTGTTAGACTTACAACTCCATTCATCTGTATTTCCCCATAGACGGCTATACTTTACAGAATGTGCAGTTACTCTCTCTAAAGCTTGGATACCCTTCCAATGGTTTGGAGGTTGAAATAGCATACAATGAAAAAAACACTGGATGAACTTAACTGGAGTAATGTTACATCTATCAACTTACGGTATTGCCTTCACTGTCCTATGAATGCATCTTGCTCAGAACGTAAAATCCTTAAGCTTCCAAAGAAGTAAAATGAGAATTATTGAAACAAAGCACAAATGGGGGCTTCTTGATACAACATATCTGTGACCATGTTTTGTGATTATTGAGCACAGAGCAATCTATCTTATGGACTTACAGTAAGTCATTCAGATCACCAATAGCCCAAATTTGTATTTGAATCTATGCACTCTCTTTCCACTGGCCAGCCTTCCCCTTCATATCCCTGCCATTTCCTTTATTAGGAAAAGGGCGGCAGAACTGAAACGTAATTGTGGTCTTAGCTGCTATCCCAGCAGTTGTCAAACTGCGGGGAACTTCCAGTCTCCTCATGGGTCACCTATGCACTTGTTATTTTGTTGTTGTGTCATCATAGCCTTAGGGTTGCTCTTGTTAGAGAGCGAGAGCAATGACCGGTGGTGATTTAACTTGAGGGCCACCGTACCCCAGGCAAGGGGAGAGGTTGATAAGGACAGTCCTTCATAGTAACCACAGCTGATGATGGGAATTGAACCCATGCTGTTGGCAAACTGCTTTGTAAACCAACCATCCAACCAATTGAGCTAAACTGACCCCTTGTCTTTTACATCCAAGTGATATGGTTTACACTTCACTGGCCTGTACAAAAAAAAAATTCAAACATGTGGCCAATATTGTAAACTGAAATTTAAAATTAAAATTAAAAACAGAAGATGCTGGGAATACTCAATGGGCCAGGTACCATCTCTGGAGTGAGAGAAACAGATTTAATACATAAGCTTAATGAGCTTTGTCAGAACTTGAAAATTATGGGCAACTTTTCTAATGTAATGAAGTCTGCCAAGTAAAATAAATACGTTGTATTCTCAGCAGCCAAATATTCACTCCATCTCTGAAAGCGTTTTGCTAGTAGCTCAACCTGATTATAACAAGGTTCTAACAGTGCAATGTTTTACAGTAAAGGTAGAATTTGATAATAGAATCTAACACAACCCAAATTATAACAACATACTTGCCAACTGCAAAGACCGTGAGACCGATAACAATATTTTGTTTCTTGTACGTTGCATCATAGGACGTTGGGTTAAAGGTCCCATCCCAAATGATTGGTGCTTTCCAATTTGTGCAGGTCTGTACATCAGTTCTGCTCCTAAAGAGAAAGAAAAGAAAAAAATAAATAAATAAACGTGAGGAAGATGATTCTGCTTCTTGCCTGTAACATTCTAGCTTCTTCTTGAGCAGACACTGATGCCCACTGGAGTATGGCTGCTCTTGGGTACTCCCAGCCACTCTAACTGAGAAGGCACAAAGTAACGACAGGAAGCAACGTTTCATTGAGAGGAGGATGGAAACCTTTGGATGTTTGAGGAAAGAATAAAAGAGAAAGGCGGCCAAGAAGTTTGCAATGCTGAAAGGGCAAGTTACAGCAAGAGTGAAATGATCTGTTTGGAACCATCAGACTACGAGAGACGAAAATTTGAAAGGAATAGTAGGTATAACTGTATAGGTGCAATAAAAATAAGGAAATGGAGAGAGTATGGTCATTGGTAGTGAAATTTAATCCCAAGTTTTACTATTATTACAACTGAGGTTGGAGGGGTCATTGTTTTCATTTCCTACTTCCACTTCTCAACTCATCAATACAAATTCCAAAAGTACCATGTTGGTGGTATGGCCAATTAGAGGTGTCTCAGACGGTATCATGTTAAGTACTAAGAACAATTTAGCAAAGATTCTTTAGTCAACAATAAATGTTACACCTCAAAGGGGTTAGTATACTGGAAAACAACTTCTGCTATTCCTGAATTTCACAAAAATACAAAAAAAGTTTAAAAGGTACACAAAATTCCCCAATTTACTGGTCTTTCAGATACAGCTTGAAGGTGGTTCAATGGTGCCTGTTCAGAGAGTTCATTGACAAGGTCCTTTTGGTTTGTCAGGACTGCTCCTCCTCTATCTTCCTTCGCCAGGTACTTGTTTGCAGAAGGCACAGGGTGACTGGTTCACGTTTATCAAGTTTCTAGGAGCAAATTACTGCAGATGCTGGAACCTGTACTGAAAACAACAATTGCTGGAGATCACAGTGGGTCAGACAGCATCCATGGAGAGGGAGCAAGCTGATGTTTCAAGTCTAGATGACTCTTCATCAGAGCTGAAGAGTCACCTAGACTCGAAACATTAGCTTGTTCTCTCTCTATGGATGTTGTCTGACCTACTATGATCGCCAGCATTTGTTGTTTATCATGTTTCTGACTTACTGGCCAAGAGCCACAGCTTACAGCAACTGATGAGGGAAAATAATCTGACTTTCTTCAAGAAAGAGGTGGTTTTCATTGCAAAGAAATGGGTACTTCCTTCTGTTATGGGAGGTCCAACGTTTCTCACAAAACATTTATACCAAAAAGCTGTCCAGCTACCTAGTAACCAATCACACAGTTGTTGGTGGGCAGAAGGCTTTTGTCATCAACTACTGGCCCCACCCCACAGACCAAACCAATCAGCTATTGTTGCTGGCTGAATCTTCATTCATATACTGCTCCCTGGCTCTGGCTCTTTTGTAGTAACGCTCTCCCCACTGCTTGAACCATCAGCTGTGTAAACAGCACTTACAAGTGTCAGGTATCTAGTTTTTAAAAAGTGTAGCAATCTTTCAAAAATCCTTTTCCCATTTCAGTTCGGAATCAAAAAAGACAACTGGTTTAGTACCAAAAATAAGATGCAAACAAAGAATTAAAATATTACTGACAGCTTGGACTATGCAAAAAGAGGTGTCTCCACTTCCAAGAACAAATAATTCATACACACTTACACATGCTGCTGCCCCTAACACAGTTGTAGTTACTGAATTCCCTTTGCTTTAGACAGTAGGTTGTCAGCTAAGAAAATCCTCTTTAGGAACACTCCCTGATCAGTAAAGGTGACTTCTGTTGGGTTTTCAGCTCACATTTTGCTGAGTGAGTTACAAAGAAAGAGCAAGAGGGAACAATGGTCTGTTGCTTCTCAATGAGGCCTCAAATTACCTCCGAGTTTAAAAAAAATGCAACAGTCTCATCCCAATAAAATCCATTCATGCCAATATATGCAGAACTTCACATTTTGTCTTAGGCATTGAAAAATCTAAGTTAGCCCTTATTTTGCTTCTGTCGGTGCTACTTGTCCTACAGTGTAACCCAAGTAAGTCACTATAGCTTTGATAAATTCGCTTTACAACAGATTTACGACCAAATTGGCTCCTGCTACTGATCAAAGTTCTTTTAAGTGGTGCAAATGTTCTTTCCAGGTTTGGGTGAACACAAGCCCATCATCCATATAAACAAAACTGTTATATAATTTTTCAATAACTTCGATAGTTAATTGTTAAAACATTTCTGGTTGATATTTCATTTCAAATGGCATGACTTAATGGTGATAAAGCCAATCCAACGTGACAAATGCTGATATTTCATTGGTTGCAATCACTCAATGGAATTTGGCAAATCACATTGCCAAGTCAATTTTTGTGAAAAAACTGGTTTGTCCATTTCTTTCAATGGAATCTTCTAATTGCAGGTAGCATATGAGTTAGCCTTTGCCACTGTGCTGATTTTGTGATAATCAATGCACAGTCATTGTGACCCATCTGGTTTCAGCACCATCATGATAGGGGTGTTTCAGTTAAATAATATCGCTGTCCATCATGAACTTATTACCTCACAAGAACATAAGAAATAGAAGCATGAGTACGACTTCTGGCCCATTGAGCCTGCTCCGCCATTCAATAAGATCATGGTTGATTTTTTTTTTTGTAAATTCAGCTCCACTTACCCACCCATTCACCATAACCCTTAATTCCTTTACTGCTCAAAAATCTACCTTTGCCTTTAAAGCATTCAACGAGGTAGCCTCCACTGCTTCACTAAGCAGGAAGTTCCACAGATTCACAACCCTTTGGGTGAAGAAGTTCCTCCTTAACTCAGTCCTAAATCTGCTCCCCCTTATTTTAATGCTACGCCCTCTAGTTTCAACTAAGAGGAATAGCCTCAAATAAGCTTATCATCTCCTCTCACTTGAACTAATTTCTCTGGATTGAGTTTATAAGGATGTTGTTTTAGGGGCTGCACATTCTCAATAGCTGAAGATGTTTATCCCTGATCTATTCACACAAATAGATCCAGGAGTTTGAGACAGTTTCTGTAAGTCACTTTGAAGGTTCCTTAGAAGGAATTTGAGAGATGACTGTCCAGTAATTACATTGACAACATGGGGCTGCTTAAAAACTTCAATGGAATGTTACTCTCTTCTAGAAAGCTATTGAAGAGACTTACAAATCGTCTTATTCTCTATCAGTAATCACTGAAGGACTGGTTTATCTTGAGTCATCTCTCTCAGTAGATTCTAAGGCACTACGGTCCACTGTACTACAGATAGAGTTTTAATAATTATTTCTTTTCCCAATCCCCGCTTTATTGTACTAGGAATGCTCAAGGGAACTTCAGAAATCAGTCTCTCATTTAACTTGCAACAATTGGTTTTAGTATGCCCAGTCTTATTACAGTGGAAGCATATTATTTTCTTTATGTCGGATAACTACTTAAACCATCTCACTCTGAGCAAATCCTACCTTATTTCTACTTTCAATTTATCAGCTAACTCTCTCATTTAGCCTTAAAAGATTTTAAATCACTTTCCACTCCCAGAAAAGTCTTAGCAACATTCAAAGCCCTTTTCAAAAGCCAGTCACATAATAAAACAGGAGTGCTGTGGTGTAGCTTATGTCCAGCATCTTTATGAATCTGTGTCTTTAAAAAGAGTCAGAGACCTTCTTAAATTCAATAAACCTCAAGCTCAGATAAGCCCCACTTTGTTATGATCCCAGCTGATGGGAAAAGTGGATAAGTCAAATCACAGAATGACGTCTGGTTTGATAGATTGTAGTAAAACAAAAGCAAAGAACTGCAAATGCTGAACTTATGAAATAGCAATTGCTGGAGAAACTCAGCAGGTCTGGCAGCATCTGTGGAGAGAGAAACATAATTAATATTTCAAGTCCAGTGAACTTTCTTCAGAATTGATTGTAGCTAGGAAAGGTTGGTACTAATACTGATGACAGAAAATGAGAGGGAAAAGGAGTGAACAGATAGATGAAGAAGGAGCCCAGACAGAAAGAATTTAAGTTATGCAAACAAAAGGGAGGTTGACTCTAAGCTAGGAAAGGAGAAACGTTGCTACTGGGGAGTAATGCTGATAATATCGTTGCATTTTGATACAAATGCTCAGACAATTCTGATCTCCCTGCGATAGGAAGAATGTTGTGAAACTTGAAAGGGTTCATAAAAGATGTACAAGGATGTTGCCAGGGTTGGAGAGTTTGAGCTATAGGAAGAGGCTGAATAGACTGGGGCTATTTCCCCTGGAGCATTGGAGACTGAGGGGTGACCTTATAGGGGTTTATAAAATCATGAGGGACGTAGATAGGGTGAATAGCCCAGGTCTTCCTCCCCAGAGTAGGGGAGTCCAAAACTAGAGGGCATAGGTTTAAGGTGAGAGGGGAAGGATTTAGAACAGACCCAAGGGGCAACTTTTTCACACAGAAGGTGCCTGTATGGAATGAGCTGCCAGAGGAAGTGATAGAGGCAAGTACAATTACAACATTTAAAAGACATTCAGACAGGTATAAGAATAGGAAAGGTGCAAATGGGTCTAGTTGGCATGGGTGGGTTGAGCCGACAGGCCTGTTCACATGTTTTATGACTCTATAAATGAGTTTAACTTGCACAGAATAGTTATATATAATCACTGACTAATAAGCTTATCACTTTCACTCTTTTCAGAAGTCCCAAATGATGGGAATATAGAACTTCAGAGCAATTAAGTCTATTGCCCTAATTTCTAACATTCCTGAGCGAAGAGTGTAGAGTAATTCGCTGTAGTTCCTTTTCCAATCTAGTTGCATGTTTGAATTTCAAGTTAAGAACAGAATCAAGATGCCAGTCATCTCTTTGTCTCATCTGTACAGTGGATCATCTCACTAACTAGGCTGAACGCAAATAAAGATTGTTGCATTTTATGCCTCAGAGATATGTACAGATGATACAGCAGCTTTTCTGTATGCAATTTTATGTGCTGTGCTTCGGAATTGTCTACTTTCATGACTAGAGCTTCCAGCTGAACTTCAGTTTCTCAGGCACCAGACCCAGGTTGTGTGTGCTGTTAGTCAAACCAAGAGTCACTAATACACAATGCAAAAAGAAATGAACAACTGAATACTACAAGGACCAAATACATGAAGAACTGCCAACACCATTGTGAAACACCAGTGAGATTCAGTGCTTTCAAGTGAGAAATAAAGTGCTTGAGAACATTGCTAATTTGTATAAAATGGAAAATCATACACGATCAAGTTTTAATATGGATTAACAGAAGTTTAGAAAAGTACCATACCAATAGTCCAGGTAATTATCCACATGGTTTCCCGGTTTTAATTTAAATCCTTTGGGCAAATGGCACACATCCATAGGAAGAAGCCCTTCCAAAAACCTGAAAGCAGATTATTGAATACACATTTAGGATTGAAATACAGTAAGTGATCAGTAGACACAGCTGAAATGTTTGAAAGCAACTTTAACCAGGTTAAGCACTTTTCTAGCTGAGCTACTGCAATCTGTCAAAGATGGAATTATGCCCAGGGGTGACCTATTTACAAATTCTTGACAGGCCAACACCCACTTGACCAGGTTCCTCCCAATCATTTACAAGTTGACGCCAGAAAATGCCCGGTCAATTAATTGAATTAGTCAGTCTTTTCTACCATCACCAGGGCTCTTGAGGCACAGTAGTAGTAATCTCTCTCCCTTTGGGCCAGAAGGTCCAAGTTCAAGTCCCACCTGCTCCAGAGCCATGTCATAAGACATCTGAACAAGTTGATTAAAAATACCTTCTGTCATATGCAGGAAGACAGTGGTAATATCACTACAGTCTGTCAGAAAACATGGGTTCAATTCCCACCATGGTGGCAGGTGGCATTTAAATTTAATTGAGCGAAGAAAAGAACATTTGGAATGGAAAAAGTTATTCTTAGGCGATGGTGACAACAAATTGTCAAATGTAATAAACATCCACCTGGTTCACTAATAGCCATTAGAGAAGGAAAGCTACCATCTTTAGCTGGTCTGGCCGACATGATAAAGTCAGGTGACCTCATAGATGTTTATAAAATTTTGAGCAGTATAGATAAGGTTAATGGTAGGTGTCTTTTCCCTAGGATGGGGGATTTTAAGAATAGGGAACATATTTTTAAGGTGAGGGGAGAGGAGAGAGATTTAAAAAAAGACATGAGGCACAATTGTTTTTTAGAAACACAAAGGGTGGTTCACGTATGAAATGAACTTCCGGAGGAAGTGGTGGGCGGGGACACATCTAACTGTCTTTTAAATGTTGTAACTAAGTACATGAATAGGAAAGGTTCGGAGGGATATGGGCCAGGAGCAGGCAGGTGGGACTAGTGTACTTTGGGATTATGGCCAGTATGGACTGAAGGGTCTGTTTCTATGCTACATGCCTATTTGATTCCAAATCCACAACAATGTGGTTGAATTTCAACAGCCTTCCAAAATAGCCTATGAAACATTCAGTGGAGGCTGTACGGCTGGAACTGATGAACAATAAAGAATCTAAACTGCAATTGTTTGTGTACAGACAACTATACCAGCTCTGAAGTGTTAGATTGTAAAAATGCAGAAATGCACGTGTAGCAAAGCCAGACTAGTATGAGTTATGAGGGATTTTAACTAGAACAAACTGGGAGAGGCAGACGAGTACCTGGTCAGAAAGGTAGCGAATTTCTGGAGTGTGTTAGGAATAGTTTCCTACAGTAATATGTCTGGGATGCAACAATGAGTCAAACAATATTGGACTTAATAATGAGAGGGATTTAAATAGTAACCTAGTTGTGAGTGAACATTTATCAAATAGTAATCATAACATGATCAAGTTCAATGTAGCATTTGAAAGCAAAAAGCATGAATCAGCTACTGGAGTTTTAGATTTAGGTAAGGTCGACTTTTACAAGATGAAACAGAGACTGTCCACAGTAAACTGGGAAAATCTGCTCATGGGGAAAACAACTGAAGTACAGTGGAGGATGTTTAAAGAAACATTTGACACAAGACAAAACCAATTTATACCCCTGAAAGGCAAAGCACAACTTAATACAAAAAAAAAGCAATGGACAATGAGAGAGATAAGGGACAGCACAAAACTAAAAGAAAGGGCTTACGAAACAAAAATGCACGAGATAAAGCACAGATCCTGCTGAATGGGAAAGATACAAAGACAAGCAAAGGGTCACAACGCAGCTTATAAGAGCTACTAAAAGGGATTGTGAAAAGAAACTTATGAAAGGACACCAAAAGCAATAAGATTTTAAAATTATGTAAAGGGTAAGTGGATGGTCTGGAGTCAAATTTCCCCAAAGGACAAAAGGGGATATTGTCAATGACTATGGGGAAATGGCAAACATGTTGATTAATTACAGTAAAAAAAAAGCTAGCTTTTTAAAAATTTGTTAACAGGATGAGGGTGTTGCTAGCTAGGCAGCATTTATAGCCCATCCCTAATTGTCCAGAGGGCAGTTAAGAATCAACTATTTTGCTGTAGGTCTGGAGTCACATGTAGGCCAGACCAGGTAAGGATGGCAGTTTCCTTCCCCAAAGGATATTAGTGAACCAGATGGCTTTTTCTGACAATCAACAATGGATTCATGGTCATCATTAGATTTTTAATTCCAAATATTTTATTGAATTCAAATTCCACCATCTGTCATAGTGGGATTCAAACCCAGGTCCCCAGAATATTATCTTGGTCTCTGGATTAACAGTCCAGCGATAATACCACTAGGCCATCGCCTCCCCAGTCTTGCCAGTGTAAAAGAATGATTCATAATTGCGGAAGATTACAAATACTCTAAAATAAATTGGCAGGACGACAACTGCAAAAGGGGAAGAGACAATGGACTTTCATGCAGTTTGTTCAGGGCACTGTCCTTACAAAGCACACAAGGAACCCAAGAGAGGATTCACTGTCTAATCTATTAACAGGGAACAAACTGAAGTAAACAAGAGCTGGAGGCATCAGTACACAATAGTGATCACACTATAAAATAACATTCTAAACATAAGGTTTACATTATCCGAGACAAATGAAACAGAAGATCAAAATAATGGATTCTATAAATGATAATGAAGTACAGTAATCCAAAGAGAATGAGGGGATCAAATATTTGAATCTGCACGTGCTGACAATGCCATCTTTAGAGAGTTTGGATGTGTAGCTTCAATCACATCATCTAAGTTGTTAATTAATTTGGGCCAACTTCGCTCATTCACTTAAAATGATGCATTCATTTATAGTTGAATGCAAAACAGTCAAGATGGGATTTGCTAACTTTGGGAGATCATTCTCACCATGAAACTGCAGGGTCAGAAGTAGAGCACTTCAAAATGCCATACAAACAGAAACTGGTCTGCATCTGTGGGCAAAGAGAAACATTTTTGCCATGGGTTCAGTGGTCTATATAATCTGCTCATTGCCCAAGTTTTATTTTTAAAAAAAGAGTCATAGGGTAACTATATTGTTAATTATTTCGTAGGATATGGATAAATGGCTAGACCGCCATTTAATGCCCATCTGTAATTTGCCCTGGGAAGATAATGATCAGCCACCTTATTAAACCTCTGCAGTCCATGTTGTTAATAGCACCAACGGTGCTATTAAGGCGGGTGTTCCAAGATATTGATCCAGTGATTGTGAAGTTGATATATTTCAAAGTCAGAATGATGTGTGGCTTGGAGGGGAACTTGGTGGTATTTCTATATGTCTGCTGCCCTCGCTCTTCTACGTGGTAGAGTCATACAGCACAGAAACAGACCTTTTGGTCCACTTGTCCATTCTGACCTGATATCTTAAACTGGTCTAGTCCTATTTGCCAGCATTTCCGACATTCCTATTCCTATTCACGTACCCATCCAGATGCCTTTTAAGTGTCGTCATTGTACTTGCCTCTACCACTTCCTCTGGCTGCTCATTCCATACATACACCACTCTCTGAATGAAAACAAAGTTGCTCCTCAGGTACCTTTTAAATCTTTCCCCTCTCACCTTAAACCTATGCCCTCCAGTTTTGGACTCCCCTCCCCTGGGGGAAAAAGACCTTGGTTATTCACCCTATCTATGCCCCTCATGATTTTACAAGCCTCTACAAGATCATCCCTTAACCTTCGACACTCCAGAAAAAATAGCCCCAGCCTATTTAGGCTCTCCTAATAGCTCAAACCCTCCAATCCCATGAACATCCTTGCAAATCTTTTCTGAATCCTTTTAAGTTTAACAACATCCTTCCTATATAGCAAGGAGGCCAGAATTGAACACAGTATTCTAAAAGTAGCCTCACCAATGTCCTGTACAGCTGCAACATGAATTCCCAACTCTGATACCCAACGCACTGACCAAAGGCAAGCATGCCAAATGCCTTCTTCACCACCCTGTCTACCTGTAACTCCACTTTCAAGGAACTATGCACTTGCACCACTAAGTCCCCTTGTTCAGCAACACTCTCCAGGACCTTATCATTAAGTGTATAAATCCTGCCCTGATTTGCCTTATCAAAATGCAACACCTCACATTTATCCAAATTAAACTTCATCTGCCACTCCTCAGCCTAATGGCCCATCTGATCAAGGTCCCATTGAACTCAGAGGTAACCTTCTTCACTGTCCACTACACCTCCAATTTTGGCATCATCTGCAAGCTTACTAACTATTCTTCCTATGTTCACATCCAAATCATTTACACAAATGATGAAAAGCAGTGGACCCAGAAGTGATCTTTGAGGCACACCATTGGTCATAGGCCTTCATGTCTGAAAAACAAACCCCCACCATCACTCTGTCTCCTACCTTCAAGCCAATTTTGCATCCAATTGGCTAGCTCCTCCTGGATTCCATGTTATCTAACCTTGCTAACCAGTCCACCATGCGGAAACTTGGCAAATGCCTTGCCAAGGTCCATACAGACCATGTCTACTGCTCTGCCTTCATCAATCTTCTTTGTCACTTCTTCAAAAAACTCAATCAAGTTAGTGAGACATGATTTCCCTTGCACAAAACCACGCTGACTATACCTAATCATTCCTTGCCTTTCCAAATGCATGTAAATCCTGTCCCTCAGATTCCCCTCCAACAACTTAACCACCACTAACATCAGGCTTACCGGTATACAATTCCCTGGCCTTTCCTTACCACCTTTCTTAAATAATGGCACGACGTAGGCAACCTCCAGTCTTCTGGCACCTCACTCGTGGCTATTGATGATACAAATATCTCAGCAAGGGGCCCAGCAATCTTTTCCCTAGTTTCCCACAAAGTTCTGGGATACACCTGATCAGGTCCTGAGGAATTATCCACCTTTATGCATTTCAAGACCTCCAGTACCTCCTCTTCTGTAATATGGGCATATTTCCAAGATAGCACTATTTACTATCAAGTTCCCTAGCTTCCATATCCTTCTCCATGGTAAATACTGACACAAAATACTCATTTAATATCTCAGCCACCTCCTGTCATTCTACACATAGATGGCCTTGTTGACCTTTAAGGGGCCCTATTCTCTTCCTAGTTACTCTTTTGTCCTTAATGTACTTGCATAATCTCTTCTGGATTCTCCTTCACCCTATTTGCCAAAGCCATCTCATATCCCCTTTTTGCCCTCCTGATTTCCCTTTTGCGTATACTCCGACTGCCCTTATACTCTTCTAGGGATTCACTCGGTCCCCACTGTCTATACGTGACATATGCCTCCTTTTTCTTGACCAGAGCCTCAAATTCTCTCATCGTTCAGCATTCTCTACACCTTTCAGCTTTGCCCTTTGCACTAACAGTCTCTGAACTCTCGTTATCTCATTTTTAAAAGGGTTTCCACTTTCAACCCACCCCTTTATCTGCAAATAGCCTCTCCCAATCAACCTTTGAAAGTTTTTGCCTAATATCATCAAAATTGGCCTTCCTCAAACTTAGAACTCTAACTTTTAGATCAGGTCTATCCTTTTCCATAACTATTTTACAACTAATAGATCACTGATCCAAAAGTGCTCCCCCATTGACACCTCAGTCACTTGCCTAGTCTTATTTCCCAAGAGAAGGTCACGTTTTGCTCCTTCTCTAGTAGGTACATCCACATTCTGAATAAGAACATTTTCTTGTACACACTTAAATTCCTCTCCATCCAATCCCTTAGACTGGGACTGCCATAGTGTTATGTTTGGAAAGTTAAAATCCCCTACCATAACCACCCTATTATTCTTACAGACAATGGAGATCTTTTCCTGATCATTCCTGGTTGGACTGTCTCAAAGTCCTTGTTTGGGGCTGCAGAGAAAGGGGTTTGTTTTTGTGACTAGTAGAACTCTAGAATGTACCCAATTATGTCAAACAAATTCAACTGCACAGGTACAGAACATAATCAACTAACAACCACAACTGTTTCTGTCAGAAATAATTTATACATTAAAGCTGCATAGTGACAGCACAAAAAGCATTACAAAGCCAAAAAAACTACACATCTGAGTCAAAGCTTCATGCCCTCATTAACAATGTATTACTTTTTTTGGTAGACATTTCTACAAAATGAGACCATTTGCCCACTTACCTGCACATATAAAGCAAATATCAAATGATCGACTTTACAGTGGAAAGAATCTTGGCTGACACCAGTCTTAGAGTATTTTCCAAAAGCTGTCACTGAATAGTGATTAGAAGAGTCACACTAACTATTACCCTAACCCAGGAGTGCAAAGGCCCAGAAAGAACAGCTCTACCACCTTCTGATCATAGTGGAAAAATATCAAAAAGTTAGATTCTTTCTTGGTTTACAAGCTATTAACACAGCACTCCCAGGTACAGGAGGAGGAAGAGCCTACCTGAAGAATATGAGGCCCAATTCTGGAACGATGATGAAGATCATGAAGAATAACAAAATAAATTTCCATTTCATCACCCGGTACCTGAATAAATAAAACAGCCAGAGTCAGAGATCTAGGTGAGTCTTAGGCACAGCTCCTTCAGCCTATCCCACCTTGCTGCTGTCTTCCCCACAAATCATGCCATCTAAAATCTATTTACTCTAGATTTTGAACCATGGCAGAATCATTGAACCATGGAAAAGTTACAGGACAGAACAAGCCCACCATGTCTGCGCCAGCTACAGTCCTCACAGCAGACTCATCAGGTGCCTCACATTGCATCCTTTATCTGCACTGATGCACTCACCAGCCCTCAAAACAGGCTAGGCTTGTATTGGACCAATGCCAGTGAGGATGAATAGGAGAGTCCACATCTGTTGCTAGAAAAGTGAAGTGACAGCATTTTCTGAAGAAGGGTCCAGGCCCGAAACGTCAGCCTTCCTGCTCGGCCTGCTGTGTTCATCCAGCTCTACACTTTGTTATCTGAGAGCATTTGGCTGTTTTGTGGTGGGGGAGTTTCAGAGGGAGAGGTTGAGGAAGAGGTTTCTGGTTCCATTTTTAGATCCTAGTTAGAATCTCATGAGCCAACACGTGACCTGGTATACTGTATGAAGATGTCCTCTGCTAAGGGTAATTATAGTTGGACTTTGATTAGTTTCTGGAACACACTTTTTAGTTACATGAAGTGGCCAATGGAAGCCTGGACACGGCACTTAGAGTCATAGAGCTGTACAGCATGGAAACAGACCCTTCAGTCCAACTTGTCCATGTCGACCAGATATCCTAAATTAATCTAGTTCCATTTGCCAGCCTGTGGCTCATATCCATCTAAACCCTTCCTATTCATATACCCATCCAGATGCCTTTTAAATGTTGTCATTGTACCAGCCTCCACCACCTCCTCTGGCAGATCATTCCACCCTCCGTGAAAATGTTGCCCCTTCGGTCCCTTTCAAATCTTTCTCCTCACACCTTAAACCTATGCCCGCGAGTTTTAGACTCCCTTAGCCTGGGGGAAAAAAGACCTTGACTATTCACCCTATCTGTGCCCCTCACGATTTTATAAACCTCTATAAAAGGTCCAACACTCCACAACTGTGATCGGAGTCTGCAGAAAGTATATTTAGGGTAATGGCTTAGTTATGTGTATTAGTTATTCTGAGAAAAGTGTATGCCTGTTGTTCTGCATTAAATGAAATACCACAGTGCCTAGAAAATTAGCACTTTCCAGGTGAACTGTGGCTTGAAGTTGAAGTTGAATAGAGAATTGGTAATTGAGGATATTGATGAATTCTTCTAATTCTGCTTCTGTCCAAATTCCCCTCATCAACACTAAAACATTACATGACTACATCAGCTAACAAGTGAGTTTGTAAAAACGAAAAGCAGAACCTCTGAAAACCAAAACAATGCTCCCGAAAAAAAAATTTCCGCCCAATCAAATATCATAAAGGGTGGGCCAAGAGGAGCAATGCACACATGAACAGACGTTAGAGATAGGGAGAGCTGTGACAAGTCTCCATTGGCAATTGAGGGCACCTGACTGTGCTCATAGGCCGTACTATGGAATAGCAAAGGAAGGGTTGAACACCTATCACTATTTCTATAGACTGTGGCACACCCTTTGGCTGAAGATGAAGGATTCCACCTCCACCATTGATATCTGAGGCATATGAGAAATGATCACTTTCCCATGGAACGTAGGTTCTGGCACAAACAATTCAGTTGCATAGAAATAATTACATAATGACATGTTCACATTATAACTTTGGACTGTTGCTCTACTGGTGTTTACTGTCTTCGTAAATGGGAGGGATTTATAAACAAAAAAAAAAAAAATCAACTGGTCCCGCAGACCGAACTTACTCGGCAGGTACCAGAGATATAAAAGGTTAATGAATCTCTCTGAGTAAATCAGTGAGTCATTGATAGTAGGAACTGCAGATGCTGGAGAATCCGAGACAACAAGGTGCAGGGCTGGATGAACACAGCAGGCCAAGCAGCATCATAGGAGCAGAGAGGCTGACGTTTCGGGCCTAGACCCTTCATCAGAAAAGGGGGAGGGGAAGGGGGTTTTGAAATAAATAGGGAGAGAGTGGGAGGCGGATAGAAGAGGGATAGAGGAGAGGATAGGTGGAGAGGAAACAAACAGGTCGAAGAGGCGGGGATGGAGCCAGTAAAGGTGAGTGTAGGTAGGGAGTTAGGAAGGGGATAGGTCAGTCCAGGGAGGACGGACAGGTCAAGGGGGCGGGATGAGGTTGGTCGGTAGGAGATGGAGGTGCGGCTTGAGGTGGGAGGAGGGGATAGGTGGGAGGAAGAACAGGTTAGGGAGGCAGGGACGAG